TGGTGCTGGTGGGCATGGGCATCGCCGTGGCCGGCTACTGGCCGCACCGCACGGGGGCTCCGGGACCCCGCACCACCAATGCCAGCGCGCCCCTGGTGAGCGAGCTGCGGCGAGAGGGCCGCGGTGCCCGCGCTCACGGCCCGCACGAGCGGCTGAGGCTCCTCGGGCCCGTGGTCATGGGCGTCGGCCTGTTCGTGTTCATCTGCGCCAACACGCTGCTCTATGAGAACCGCGACCTAGAGACGCGACGGCTCCGTCAGGGGGTGCTGCGGGCCCAGGCGCTGCGGCCCCCCGACGGACCCGGCTGGGATTGCGCGCTCTTGCCCAGCCCTGGCCCTAGGACTCCCCGAGCCATAGGCTGTGCTGAACTGGAGAGTTGGGACCTGGCCCCTCATCGGGGTACCTCACCTGTCCCATCAGTAAGGAGTCTGCGTTCAGAGCCTGCTAATCCTCGTCTGGGGTTACCAGCCCTGCTCAACAGCTACCCACTGAAGGGTCCGGGGCTGGCCCCACCCTGGGGTCCACAGACCCAGACTGGCCACGTGATCATCACCATGCAGCCTGCTGGTACCTGCATTGAACACTCCAAATCTCTGGACCTGGGTCTGGGAGAGCTTCTGCTTGGGGCCCCGGCCCCTCGGGACTGTGCTCACCGCAGCTGGCCGCGGCTGGATCGCCTTAGTCTAGGGGGTTATGCCAAATTGGGCGGAGGAGGTGACTCGGGGCCCCGAGTCTGAGGAGCCTACGGGGTTGGCAGCAGGTGCCATGGTAACAGGGCCAGGGGTCCCATGCGATGGATGCTCCCGCCCCACAGGGAAATGCCAGCCATACTAACGTTCAACTGAGCTGGAGAAAGCACGAATGTGGACTCTGGAAACCAGCGAGACTCGGCCTCAGGGATTCCGTCAGCCTCTAATCGTGGCCTTAGCCCTGGACAGGTACCTGATGGGGCTGGAGGTCCGGGCCAGGATGACTAGGCGATGGGCTTCCTGTCTCGCTAAACTCAAAGAGTGGGCAAGAACTCTTGAGACTTCGGAGTGTCGACTGGGTTGTTAAGTCAGGGTGGGGCATGGGGTTCGGGCCTCTCTGGGAAAGTGGGTAATGGGGTGGTACTGCGACAGAGCCTCCACTGCCATCTGGAACCGGGACTAGCCTTTAACTCCCATGCAGGGCTCCACTACTGCCGATGCCTTCCTTCACACTGAGGGGTGCCCCCCCAACAGGTCTGAGAAGCCGCCTGCTCCCCTTAATCACGGTCTGTGCTGCAAAATCTGCCAGTTGGCAGAACACATCTGTCAGTTCTCAGAAATCCTTTCACACAACACAAGCTGCATTTTGGCAAGTGTGGGTACCTTAGTGGAGAAGACTTGAGTTTGCAGTGCCTAGCCCCATCTCCCTCCCCTTCCCCCCAACTGCTGGGAGCAATGGAGAACCTCAAAGTAGATCAAGCCTCAGTCATTTTTTTGGAAAGTTTATTGGAAAATGCAATACAAGAAGCAAGACCAAACACATACCTACACACTACAGCCACTTCTCTTACTATGAAAGGCCCGAATCACAGACCTAATTATTGCCTAGTTTAGCTAAAGATTTTTGCCAATTGAATTCTGCTGCCATAGTTCCTATTTTGTCAGGAAATGTAAACAACTACTTGATATGATTCATAATTTTTTAAAAAATGTACAAAGCTCCTTCATTTTTTGTCACCAAAATAATACATTTGAGAGAGATTTGTAAAAAACAAAACCAGCCTGGGGCTGAGGTTCTGGGTGGAGATTTCCCATAAGCATCCCTTGGGGGTGGTCAGGCCATAGCTGTCTCCATCACCCAGGGTGGGCTGTGGTCTCTTCACCCTAGCTGCCCTGTGGGACACGTGGTGGGCCTGGGACGGGCAAAGCTGCCCTGACAGCATACTGCAGCCGGGTGTCCTGGGAGCTCTGGGCAGTGAATTCTGTGGGTCCTACTGTGCTGGTGGGGTGGGGATGGCAGAGAGCTCGTGTGTCCTGGAGAAGATCCCTAGTTCTCACGGGAAAATAAAACTGCAGCAAGAGTTGTTCCTGTGATTTTTCTGAGTCACTTTAGGGCACTTGTTGCCAAGCCATTGGCCCTGGAGCTGCACCTCTTCTCCCTCTACGTCACCACCTGGGTGGAACCTGCTTTTACACACACACACCACAGCAACTGCAGGAAGGGGAAAAAACAAAAATCCAAACCCCGATGTGTTGTCAGAGAGGGAGCTTGGAGGGATATCCCTCTTGCTGAACTTGTCCAAAATCATGGCTTCTGAGTTGGAAAAGTATTCAAGATCTTCTGGTCCAATGTATAGACTTCCTAGCTGACTGGGAGAGGTGGCTAGGGAGCTGGAGCTGAGCTGAAGGCCTGTTGAGCCTCTTGGTCCTGTGCTTTGGAGTCTGTCACACTGCACTGGCCAGCACAGGGCATTCAGTACGCTACCTGTTAAATATACACATGCCTTCCTCTTCATTCCACAGGCTTTGTGGTACAAGGCAGGGTGGGGTGGGGTAGCGGCCACTGTTCATGCCTCTTGGGAAGCAAGAGCATACCATAAGCTTGTTTTATGTGAACAGTACTTCCAACCTAGCCACCCCTTCCAACAAGAGTCCAAGAGAGTCCATGCACTGCCCAGAGTGTCCCTTGTTTAGATCCTGAGACAGGGCCACCTCCTCTCCCCCAAGCCTACACACTCCCCTGGTGCTCCACCCCTCCCCAAAGACAGGACTGCCTGCTGGTGAACCAGATGACAAGCGCACACCGGCAAAGCTGGGCCAAGTGGCCAGAAGGACCTAGGTTAAATGCAGGCAGTCAAGACTGGCATGTGGCAGTGCCCCACTGCCCATCCTAATAAGCTGACTTCCAGCTTGGCATTAGGACCCTCAGGCACCTCTAGGAAGATATGTTTCAAGGAAGCAAGCTGGAAGACTAGAAAAACCCAACCGGATAAAACACTTCTCAATCTTTCCCAGAAGGTACCCAGGAAAGAACGGGGGAGCCAAGGGCATCGGTGTTTACATTTCCAAAACCAAAAAAGCCAAACCCCAAATTCATCACAAAATCAAGCCGACAGAATCTGAGCTCAGCTGGCAAGGGGAGAGGAGTGGCCAGTCACTTGTGGGAAAGAGATCCTTGAGAGTCATTCCCTTGCTCCAGAAGGGAGTCCTGGGGAAGGCACCCGGGGAAGAAGCGAGAGCCAGGAGCACAACCCCTCCTTGGTCACAGCCTTCTCACCTGGGACTACAGAGAGGCTCGGACCTGGGTGCCCGGCCATCTTCTTATCAGGAGCTGACTGAGGAGACTGGCCCTCTCCCTGTGTCAGGTGCACCCTCTCAGAACTGGAAAAACCTTATTTTAAAGACCTCATTAAACTTTACTTCCTGAAATTACCACTCAAAATGTGCCATTAGAGCTTTTGGCCAAAAGTGCTTCTTTTTTCTCCCTCTTTCCTGTGAGTTTTGGTCTCCTGAGATGGCAGCTGGGGGCGGGGGTGGGGGTGGAGGACTTAGCAGAGCCACTGCTTCTAATGAGGTAAAGGAATGGTGAGGCGGGAAAGCAGAAGGTGAAGGCCACGGATATGTTCAGACATTCACAGTATCAGATCTATCTGATGCACCTTCTTGTATCTTTGATCTAAAGAAGCTTCAAAAACAAACACTAGAAGAAGGAAAAAAAAAAACACTACTACATTCTTAGTAGAGGTCTAAGCCTCCCCAAACCACCCCAACTGAGTGTGGACTGTGCCCGGCCCTGCGGTCGGGACAGCCAGCCAGCCTGCTCTTCTGCCAAGTCACATCACAGGATCTGAGAAAGAGCTGGTTTATGAAGATTTTGCTGTTACTCAAAAGGTATAAAACTAAGATGGGGTGTGTGTGCAGGGAAGCCCCATTATGCTGGCTTTGGCCTCCAACACGGCTGACGGAGTCTGCAGGATTCCCAGGGACTGTCAGTATCTGGGTTGGCAATAATCAGTGAGGCCAGATTGAAGGGGCTGCAGACCACCCCGTTAGAAACAAATTCAAAGCCAAACAATCTGCTTAAAACCAGTCCATAGAGTGAAGAGGTGAACAATTTCTGCTATCACAATATAGAAAAAGGTATCCAAAAGGATCCAAGATAAGAAGAATCTCTTGATATAAATTCCAAATAGAAAAGGAAATTAACTTCCTGGTGGTTTAGAATAATTGTGAGTCTGAAGTCTGAGGACTCCAGTTCTGCTTCTTTATCATTTCGCTGGTTTCCTTTTTGATGGAAGAAGGCAGGGCATTGGGGTGGAATGGTTCCTAGAGGAGAGAAAGCAAAGAGTTAAAATCCTACAGGGAAGGGAGCTGTCCTCTGACAAGTGAGGTCACAATTGGCCCCCAAGGCCTGTCCATGTAAACTACCTTTAAGTGTGAATTTCTCTGAACCCTTGGCTCTGAGAAAGCAGCTACTCTGCTTCCAACTCTCTAGTCTGGCCCCCAGCTGTTTCCTCAGCCAGAACCCCGTCCCCCTGTCCAGTTCTTGTTGTGTCCTCCTCTGGTTCTCACAGGTCTGGGCTCAGGCTAGGTTAGAGCAGCAGAGAGGAATCACAGCAGGAAGCAGGAGGATCCAGAGGGGGTGCCTCCCCTAGCCTACACTGCTGGCACAGCTAAGGACAGGGGGATGCAGAGGCCTGGCTGCTTAATTATTTCTTTGTCCCCCACTCCACTTAGCCTCTCCTCTGTCTTCATACTATCAGTCACTTCTCTGTGGGGCTGGGAGAGTGGGCATCTGGCACGCAGCAGGAATACCCCCTACCTGAGCTCATTCCTCAGAGATCTCGGTCTCCTGATGGACGACCACCTTGGTCACAGACATATCTGGATGCTGCTCCTTTGCTTCCTTAATGGCCTGTACGAGCACCTAAGACAAACAGAAGCAAAGGCATCAGAGAACAGAAAAGCAGCCTGGCTAGTGCAGGAAGGCAGGGAGTGTAGACCTTTGTTTCTCTGGCAAATCCACTCCCTCTGTCTGCAGCACCAGGCTGAGCCATACTGATGACTACCTTCCCTGCCCTTTTCAGACCTGATAGCACAGAAGTGCACACGCACGTGTGTGTGTGTGTGTGTGTGTGTGTGTGTGTGTGTGTGTGTAAGGGCACTTCAGGGTGTCAGCTGCACTTTCCTGGGCCAGCTGGGAAGAGTCAGTCACTCAAGAAATGAGTCTGGAGGACAATGCCCCAAACTGTGTACAGCACAGTGTAACCAAGGCATTCAGGACAGGAGAGAAGAATCAAGACGTATGCTGCAAGAAGGAAAAAAACGGGAGAGAGAATGAGGGGAAAGGGAGGGGAGGAGAAGGAGGGCTAGCACTTATTGGATGCCTACTGCGTGCCAGTCTGTCACGGTCTAGTTATACGTTTGTCACAATTAACTTCACAGATGAGGGTAGTAGCACTGTTTCCATTTTACAGATGAGCAAACAAAACTGAGTACCGCTGGTTAAATAGGTTACACACAGCAAGTCCGAAATGCAACTCAAGGCTGTAAGAACTGTCTTTCTGCCACAACATCCTTTACTCTCCTAGGGGCCCGATTTGAGCATCTGGAGTACTGGGAACTAGAGGGAACGTAAAAGTTAGAAAGACAAGAGAAAGCAGTGATGCCACTCTCCTGGGCCTCCAGTTCTGAGCCTGCCGGTGGAACACTCCAGGTGGAAGCATCACCAGGGGGCATGGTGGCACTGGGCTCTCAAGAACTGGCTGCATAACCTGACTCTCAGGAGCTACTTCTAAGAAAGTCAGGGATTAAAAAAAAAAGAAGGTCAGAGACAAGAAGGAAGCTGCCTGTGGGTCTTGTGAACACCTTGCTTTAACAACCCCCCCACCCCACCCTAACATCCCACCCCCACCCCACCCCAGGACCTGAATCCTGTTGGCCCCGCTCCAATCCTCTCCCTGGTGGCTCCAGCACCCTTCAGGTGCCTCCCTCCTCAGAGGGCATGGCAGCTCCTTCCTTCATTCTAGGCGATCATTGGAGGGACCTTGGAGCAGCTCTCCAGGCCAGCCAGTGTGCTGTCACAACTATCTTGGGAGATTGCAACCTGGCTTTGTTTCACAGAAGATGGAACTACTGCTCCGAAAAGCAAAATAACTTGCTCAAGGGCACACAGCCAGTACATGGCAGAACCAGGATTCCACCCAGACCCGTCCCACTCTACACCCCCAGTCCCTCCCACCGCAGGTGGGGTGCAGAGGGATGCTCACTGTGCAGCCAGACTGAATAGGAGACATAGGCAGGCTAGGAGGTAGCAGGGTGGGCAGGGTGCAAGGCTGCCTTGTTTCTGAGACCCTGAGCAGTCTTGGGGGCGAGTCTCATGCTCCTACCAAGAGAACTGCCAGCGCTGCAGCACAGCTGTCTTTTTTTAAAGGCACTCAGCATATTAGCATAAAGGCCACGCAATGACTGCTCCAGCAATCCTGTCAATGATTCCAGAAGCATTTGCATGCAGTCTCTTCCACCCCCACCTTGCTGCAGTTTTGCTGTTCTAACCTCACCCAGCCGAGAATTGGGAACATTCATCCTGACCTTATTAGCTGCTAATTGCTTATAGCACACAATTAGCACCTAATTAACATAAAACAGAATTTTAGCACTCAGAAGGGCCCAGAAATGATCTAGATCAGCCTACTCATTTAAGAGAAGAAGAAAAAAAGACAGCGCTAACTTGATTTGTCCAAGGTCACACACACAGTGAGAGATGCACGACAGAAGCCAAGTTGTAAGACTCCTGGATTCTGGCCCATCACACCATGGCCCCTAGTAGACAGCTACGAGGGCTCTAGGGGCAGGGGTCATGCTTTGCCTGTTTGCTGTCACATCACACCATGGCCCCTAGTAGACAGCTACGAGGGCTCTAGGGGCAGGGGTCATGCTTTGCCTGTTTGCTGTCACCCACGATCTCAGGCACGGGCTATGGTCTCCAACATTCCCTGAATAATGACTGCACCTCTTGCCGTGAGCCCACCAAGCAGCACATGCTGCACACCCAGTGCCGCAGGGATGCTCACAACAAGCT